CTAATAGGAGATGAAGAAATTGGTGAGTGAGGGGTCCTAGGTAGAGGAATTTGCGGCAAAAATGATGAGCCAAGCCATGAAAGAAGTAAAGAGTGTAAGATTTGAGATAGATGTTATGAAAGAAGAGATACCTAATTTGGACACTGCACATTGAATGCATTACTCTTCGTGAATTATTCATGACTTATCCAGGTTCAAAATCATATATACCTACTTTTTATTAGTCCTCTTTATAAAAAAAGAGACCTAGTTGTCCAATTGATGGGCAAATAACTGAAATTTTCTAAAAGGCTCTGCGGGTACATCAAAGGGCCCAGGGGTGCATCACTGATTCAGAAACCAATAAGTTCCTGTTTTTTTTTTTCTCCAACCATAAAGCAATTATATATATATATAAATACTTGACTCACCCTATACATTATACACACACACACATATATATAGGTGCAGTAATGTATAGGGTGGGTCCAAGTAGGGAATTTGATGATAGGACATAGTTGAATATATGTCAATAATCTTAGTTATGTATAATTTTTTTAATTTTGTTTTTAGATTATTATTGATCTCATATTGTTATTTATGTGATCTTCTCATCTAACAGTTGAATATATTGTTCTTTTGCTAGATCATTAATTTCGGGTGAAAATTACCTTTAATTAAATAGTATGTCATTTCTTTCATTTTGAAATGAGTGGTGCAGAAATAATTACGTCAATTATGTTTAAAATGTATATTAAAAAAATATTCAAATACACCTTATGAAAATATTAAAATATACTTTTATTTACAAAAATAAAATAAATAAATTACTGTACAAATGGAGAGAAACTTTGTCCCATCAATTCCAACAACAAACTCAATGATAGTGACTACTGATAAACGACCAATAGATCGTGCATGTACTATTAAGTCCATACTTTATTTTTCTTTTCTGTCGACTCATTGTCTATGATGTCATGGTATCTGCGATATGGCTTAGAGCATCTGGGGTGGGGATAAATGTAGAGTAAATTTCTATAAAGTAGAGAAAGATCGGGCTGATATGGATGAATGTTAGAGTCCTTAGTTAGTGATTCTCACTTGCTATTATCTGTTTCATTCTTCACGGTTAGACAATCACATGAATAATATATATCCATTTTGTTATAATATTTTAATATTTTCTTTGTTAGCTTTTGATTTCTTTTCTTAACATCTTTAGTTATAGCGAATGATGGCTCACCTTTAGATAATGAGATATTGATGTTGCATGCCCTAGAACAATTTTCGTTAAAAAAAAGTAGAGTATCATGGAAGCATTTTTTATTAAACAATGCTTACGTGGCACTCTATTTTAAAAAAAAAAAAAAAAAATAGATATAGAAGGTGTATGATGCATACGGGATGCTCTTATATCCGATGGCAACAGCAAGCCCTGTAATACTCCTAATTTTAAAAGGATAGTCTCGGTATTTATTTATTTATTTTTATTGTATTTTTTAATTGTTTAATTGATTATTTGACTAATTGTTTATGTGTTTAATTGAATTAAGTGTTACTTGGTTAATTGGCTACTTATCTATGTGTTATTTGTATTTTGTCTAGGTGTTATTTGTATTATTTGTTTAATTAGATTGTGCACTTAAATGATGTATTTGATTAATTGTAATTAATTATAAATTAAATGATTAAATGTTTTATTTTATTTTATTTTATTTTATGTTTATGATTAGTGGTAATGGACTAACTAATTGGGTCCCACGGACTACTTGAATAGGAGGTTGGATGGGTATGGATAATTACCCATGGATAGTTGTATATGTATATATATAGATATATATGTATATACATATATATAAAAAGGAAAGTAATTTATTAATATTATAGTAACTTTAGTATTAATAAATAATCTGATGTATATATTTTATATATTTATATAATAAGGATATACATATATTTTATACGTAACATGTTTTAAGTTACCTTTTTAATATTATGGTAACTTTAGTATAAATAAATAATCTGATGTATATATTTTATTTATTTAATAAGGATACAGATAGATTATATACGTAACATGTTTTAAGTTACTTTTTAATATTATAGTAACTTTAGTATAAATAAATAATCTGATGTATATATTTTATTTATTTAATGAGGATATAGATAGATTATATACGTAACATGTTTTAAGTTACCTTTTAATATTATGGTAACTTTAGTATTAATAAATAATCTAATGTATATATTTTATTTAATTAATAAGGATATACATAAATTATATACGTAACATATTTTAAGTTACCTTTTTAATATTTTTATTTTTTATTTTTCTTTATTAAGTTGACTTGGATTGGGAAAAGGAATAGGGTTATTATTTAGCCTATAAATACACAACTATAGGTTGAAAAATGAGTGAAAATATATCACGTAATATATTCTATAGAGAAAGAGTTAGAGAGAGAAGGAGAAAGAGGAAGGAATGAGGAGAAAACCCTTTAGAGAGAAAATCAAGGAAGAAGAAATTTAACTTTCAGTCCGAAAGTTTAAGGCAAGTTCTTCTTCTATCTCTTTCCCTTTGATTCGTGTTTCTATACATGCTTAGGAAATTCCAGGATTTATTAAACACATAAAATTAAATAATTATGCATATTTAATTGGGTTAGAACATAGGTTTTATGAAATGTTATGAATTGATAAAATGCATGATTTTGATTTGATTTCTTATGTGAATTTTTACATGTTTAAATTATGTATTTTTCATATCTGTGGAATGATGGAACGTAAAAACATGCCTAGGATTCCTGAACATTAAATAGGGACTAGGTTTGGGTTTTAATAAATTTAAATAGACTCAATCATAATGATGCTTGCTATTTGAATGTTTTAAACAAACGAATGGATTTAATATTTTAAAATATTTTAGCAATTGAGATTAAATGTGTAGGATGAATTGGATATAGAGAATCCTTATTTAACGGTATAATAAAATATCATCATGTATAAGATTCAGTTTGTGTAAGACATATGATATAGGAAGTTTAAAAAAATAATAAGTCATTCCTATTATGTGATAACTTGATATCATATTTATCATAGTTATTTATGGAATGTTTGATGTATTTCCTTAATTGTTACATCAATTGTTAGATTGTGTGGCTTAATGCACCGGTATGGGACGGTGGCATTCTAGGGATGGATTAACTTATCAGTTAAGTCCTACCTATTTTATATATGGGAATGGATTAACTAAAATGTTAAGTCCTACTTATATTTAAGTCAGGTCAGCTGAACAAGTTGAATGACTTGTGGAGGATTAATTTATTATATAAGGGAATGGATTAACTAAAATGTTAAGTCCTACTTATATTCAAGTCAGGTCAGCTGAACAAGTTGAATGACTTATGGAGGATTAATTTATACTGGATAGGATGGTTACTAGATTTTATATATATAAATATGGTGCCATGATATGAGCTTGAGTCTCAGGATCAATGGTTAGGGCGCGTATATCGCCAGGGATGTGTAGCTAGATATAGTGTAGTTGTGTACCCTGGTAGGTCTAGGTACTCATGCCCACTATATGTGCGTTTTGCATGTTGCCTACTATTCAGGTTGAGACAACCCTATAGTCTAGTGAGGTTCCTTTAGTGTGTATATATATATATACGGACTATTAGTTACTGTTGGATTGACTAGGATGTATACGTGTATCGAATCTCTGCTTGGACTGTAGTAGAGTAGAACTTGTTTGTGGGCCTGACCCACCATTATTTTTCAGGTGTTCGTCACGAGTAGAGGTTGTTCGTGCTGAGCGGGGATCAGTCTACTTCATTCTTCCGATGCTACATAGGAGTTCCTTTATGATTCAGTTTCCTGTTTTAGATTACTGTCATTTGTTTAGTTTGGATTTTCTAGGGGTCCACACAGTATGGATTCCCGAGTTGTTTTTGGAGGATCAGTTGTATCAGAAGAGTTTATTAATTAATGGAAATATATTATGAGGTTTATTATTAGATTATCATTTTCTTTTTTGTCAGCATTTTATTTATTCTTCTTTATTCTTTTGTACTCTGTGTTCGTTTATTATCAATTTGTTTTGATATCCTCGGGTATTCGGGCGTGGGCCTGGCCAACCCGCATTCGAAAATTCGGGGGTATCACAAGCCCCAGCACTGACCTATTCAAGACCTTGTCCATCAAACCAGTGGATTCTTTCGAGTGTGGTTGAAAAACATCTCTTATCCTTTCTGTAGCGTCCCACAACAAGGTATATCACTTTCCCATTTACGAGTGGCCTTAAAAAAAAAAAAAAAAAAAAATTATGGTAAAACGTAGGGTACCTAAAAAAAAAATTAACCAACGTCCAAAGCAAATCATTGCTAATCTCCCCGTGACTTGGAGTCTTAATTTCTAAGCCTTCTGTCAAGGAGAAAGTTAAGCAGTCCGACTTAAATTGGTCCAACGCCCTTGAGAGACTTTGCTTCTGGTGTCTGTTGAATTTTGTTAAAATTTCATTTGTCCTACAAGTTTAATGATACAACTCTCTTCCACCAGGCAATGAAGTCAATGTCAGGTTATTTTTCTCTTTAATGCATCTCTTCTCCAAAGTTTTTGACGTGGGCCATAAAAATGTATTGAATTTAAAGAACACATTTAATTAATGTTTAGTTTACATCAAAATACGATATTTATGTTGTACACATACATGTTTCTTTTAAGATTTAAACTCCCTAATCTCTCTTTGAGGAGTAAGACGCCGATACTGCTAACCGATGGCATGTTGGTGTCTTTTCTCACCTTATTTTCATGTTATTTTAAACTCGTTTATTATCTTTTCTTCTTTTAAATTCTTACTAATTTATACAATATATATACAGCATTAAAAGGCCTCCAATTTATTTTTTTTTGCTTTAGCCTCTACTTGTATCAAGCCCTCCCTGCTTGGAATTTCATGACTATAATGCCTAGATTTTAATTGATCGATGTCTTGTAACCTTACCCTTGCATAAATAGGAAAGTGTAGTAAGTAGAATTTAAATTATACAACTAGTACATGAATTTTACAAGCGTGACCATAAATAAGGATAGAGGGTTATATATTACAAGTGCTTTAGCACAGCTTGAAAAAAAAAAAACCAAAAAAAGCCAAAGCAAGCAAAAAAAAAAAAACAACTGATATTTTGGTGATTTCTTAGGACATCTATAAGGTAACAGTGCCTTAAAGCATTTCTTTCACTTGCTCCTCAAGGTCTGGAAGGTGATGATTGTTATCGTAACCGTACATCAAAGGAACCATCCTTGCAACATTTACACAAGCATTTCTGAAAGATACTGGAAACGGACTCGGATGGAGGCACTCCTTGTTTAGACACTTCCATGCATCCGAAATCATGTCATGAACGCGTTGCTGTGCAAGTTCAACCGAAGAGCCTTCGTGTTCCTTCATATAGTAGTGCACATATGATCCATCATGCCCATCTTGATCTTCATCCTGCAAGTTAATCCAAGTCTAGATTAGGAGGGAACTAAAACGAGCATTTCATCTCTAAATATATGGAACCAAGAACCAGTATACTCTCTGGTGCAGGAGAGGTTCGATGAACAATAATGGTGATGATAAGAAATTTTTTTTTATTTTTTCTTTTATGAGGAACATGTGAATTTTGTTACCTTGGCACTTCCCAAGTCATCCCAAAGGCGAAGAATTGTTGCGACAGAATATATAAGGTCTGGAATATCATTTACAAGATTTGCGCTTTCGTTGGTTAAGCCATGACCCAAGAGAAAAAATATGTGGGCTAGAGCCACATGTACCCCTGAACTTACAATCCCATTCTTCAAGTACTCCTCTGTCTTGGGTGAGTGTCCAGAAGCAAACCAATTTGCTTCTACAAGAAATGCATTGCACAAAGTGGCCCACTGCGACATTTATATATTGTTCTATTAGCTTATATATATATATATATCAAATAATTGTTACATACATTTAGATGGAAGAATTATTAGCATACCGCTTTTCGTAGGGATTCTGTGGGGTTTCTTCCATGCTTTTTGTAGATCTTGTAGCCAATTTCGTTAGTGGTGTCATAAAGAGCTTTGAAACATATCTTCATGTAGTCTGGTAGATGCTCAACAGCAGCAACGTCCCATCTGATTAATGTAAATCTTACAATTATAACAAACACAATTCTAACAAATATGTAGTTGGAGTTTTGTATAAAAGCTAGCATAAAATCTCTTTCTTCGACGCATACCTGTTGACAGCTTCTGTGAAGAGAGTAAGTTCATCGAGCGTCCCATGAACATCAAAGATGTCATCTATTATGTAAATAAGAGATATGGGTTTTGTGAGCTCAATCCTTTCCTCTGACAAGCTTGAATCCGTGAGGACGGCCATGGACCACATGTGCCATTTAACTGGTTGGTCTCTGGCAAACTTCAACTCCTTTGCCAAACCTAAGTTTTCCCACCATCTAAGATGAAAAAGTTGTCACGTTAGTGAGAGACATATATAAATCTCATTTAGATAATGACATAAATGTTAACTAGCACATAACAACAAAATTAAATTCCAAATCATAATACAGACTCACTTGCAAACTTGAAAGATTTCCTTTTGGTGCATGGATTGAACCACCTTGTAATCCATCTCAGCTAGTTCTTGCAGGACATTTTCCCAACCATTAATGCCTTTGAAATCTTTGAGAAAGTTCTTCACCATGAACCTTGCCAAGCTCTTGTGATAGGGATTCGCCAATGTACTCCCAATAATTCTACCTTGGTGATGATCAAGCTTTGTTACCCATAAAGAAAGAGTCTGGCTGCTAAAGTTTGCAGCTTCATCAAGTACACCTTGATCTTCTTCTATTCTTAGCTGCGACGCTTCATATAACCCCATCAATCCCTTGATGTCTTGTTTCAGTTCTTCTCTGAACACCCCATCCTTGCCCTTGAATTTGTTAAACACATCTGTTGAAACCCAAATTGTTGGTTGAGAAGTGATTGATAACTCAAATATCATAATCAAGTTTTGGTAGCATGAAAAGAAAATACTTCACCTGCAGGCACATAGTAACCTTCTTGTCTCAACAGTCTGAATCGAAATGAATCCTCATAAAGATCGTTGCAGTTATCAACTTGAGTATGAGCATTAATTTTCTTATAATGCCTTTGCAGGACTGCATCAATCTCCTCGCGGAAGTGGTAGTCAATGCCTAGGCGCTGGACGGCATCAATCATGACCAAATCTTCTAATGCATCTTCTCCTACTTTGCTGAATGCATACCTAACTTCGTTCACTTTTTGTGCATGTTTGATGTGAAGCTCATCCTGCAAAAGTAATAGTGTCAGCTGTTGAAACATATACAAGAAATTAATCAAGAAAAAAAAAATTAAATTAAATTAAATTAGGGCTAGCCCAATGCAGGCTCCCGCCATTGCAGGATCTGGAAAGGATCAGATGTAGAACTTAACTGGAAAGTTAACGTATTCAATTTCAAGGTTTTCTTGTTTTGAGGGTTTAGAAACCAAGGTGAGGGCTTGGGAAATGCTCCATTTCTGGTTGGTTGGCATTGTTGCAGTATGAGAGAGAGTGGTGTCAGGAGCATTGTTAGAAATTGATATGCTACGAGAGAGTGCCATGGACAATGTTTCCGAGTTGGTGACAGGGAGATTTTTTGTAGAGCTTGATGAATTTGAAATGTATCCGGACATAGCAACTTATATAGAGAGAATAACTACTTAGTGAAGTTTCGTCACGCTCACTTGTATATATGCACATGCAAATGGAAAGAAAAAAATAAGGCACGATTTTTGTCACCAAGAATGTGACCTAGTTTTGTGAGGGAGATATATTGAGGAAACACAATAACTTGGTAGTCTATTTATAAAATTCTTAGGGCACTGTTCAATTGATGCCACATGCGTTACACGTTTTGAGCGTGTTCACATGGGATATTATTGCTGTCTTGGTCAAGATTCCATATGTGTGTGTCAGAATTGTGCCTGGGTATATATTTGCATGCGACAGATACCTGTAATTAAACCCAACTCACACAGTGCCACACAATTTACTTGGTGTTCAAAAATGTCGCACTCTTTTTGGTTAATTATATTGTATTGAGAAAGATCACGCTGTCAAAATTAAATGTAATGCTATGCAAGTTTTTTTTTTTTTTTTTTTAATTTATATATTAAGTGTGTATATGTATCAAATGAGTGCATGTATTAAGTGCGTGGCTAAAAATTCTCTTAAAAATATCTTAATGGTTTTTCAGAGAACACTATATATATATATATATATATATATATATATATATATATATATATTAATTGTCTAATGTGATCGAGTTATAGAAATTGTTTTATTTTCTTTAAATATATCCTTATTTAATTAGATTTTATTTTATTAGAAAGCTTATAATAAATAGATAAATACAGGTTATATGTGATAAAGTTTTAAAAAAAATAAAATACTTAATTTGTGGTAAAGTTTTGGTAATTTGTGTTAAAGTTTATAAAAATTATTTAAATATATCCTTATCTAATGTGATAGAGTTTCATTGCAAATAAAATAGGTAATTTGTGGTAGAATTTTATATAAATTATTTATTTTCTTTAAATATATATATCCTTGTCTAATTAGATTTTTTTTTATTAAAAAACTCATAATAAAAGATAATTTGTGGTAGAATTTTAGAAAAATTATTTTATTTTTTATACCAATTATTAAATATTTTTATATTAATAATTCTTGTCTAGTTATATTATATTTTATTAAAAAATTCATAATAAATACATAAATAGGTAATTTTTATTAGAATTTTATATAAACTCTTTTAAAAAAATATTTTATTTTCTTTAAATATATCGTTGTCTAATTAGATTTCCTTTAAAAAAAATCTCACAATAAATAGATAAAAACAACTTATATGTGATACAGTTTTAAAGAAAATAAAATAGATAATTTGTGGTAAAGTTTTATAAAAATTATTATATTTTCTGGAAATCTATTTATAATAAATAAATAAATAGGTAATTTGTGTAACAGTTTAATAGAAATTCTTTAAAAAAATACTTTTTATATCAATTAATAATATTTTTTTATATTAATAATTCTTGTCTAATTAGATTTCCTTTTATTAAAAAACTCATAATAAATAGATAAATAGGTAATTTGTGTTAGAGTTTTATAAAAACTCTTTTCAAACCTCTTTTTATATTAATTAATAAATATTTTTTTATCTTAATAATGCTTGTCTAATTAGATTTTCTTTTATTAAAAAAACTCATAATAAATAGATAAATAGGTAATTTGTGATATAGTTTTATAGAAACTCTTTTAAAAACTCTTTTTAGATTAATTAATAAATAATTATTTATATTAATAATACTTGTCTAATTAGATATCCTTTTATTAAAAAACAGTTAATAAATATATAAATAGAAAATTTGAGTTAAAATTTTTTAGAAACTCTTTAAATATTATATCCTTGTCTATTGTGATAGAGTTTTATTGAAAATAAAATTTGTGATTTGTGATATAGTTTTATAAAAATTATTTTATTTTCTTTAAATATATCCTTCTTCCTTTTAGCAGTATAGTGTATCTCATAATCCAGCATTTTATTAAAAAAACTCATAATAAAAGTTAAATTGTGGTAGAGTTTTAGAAAAATTATTTTATTTTATATATCAATTAATAAATATTTTTTATATTAATAATTATAGTCTAATTAGATTTTCTTTTATTAAAAAATTCATATTAATAAATAGATAAATAGACTAACTTAAATTTTATTAGATAGATTTTAGAGTTTAATTGACATTTTTTTTTATTTTTTATAAAAACTCTTTGCAAATCAATTAATAAATATTTTTTTTATAAAAATAGATAGTTAAATACTGAAACTCTTTGCACATGTAATAATACTATAGATAAAAACTTTTTTTATATCAATTAATAAATATTTTTTATATAAATAAATAAATACTTAAACATCTCGGCACAACTTCTATATTTTACTTAGAAAATTATGTTTTCTTTTATTAAAAAATTCATAATAATAAATAAGTTAATTTGAATTTTATTAGGTAGATTTTACAGTTTTATAGAAGTTTTTTTTTCTACAAAAACACTTTTAATATCAATTAATAAATATTTTTTTATATAAATAAACAAATACTGAAATACTGAAACCCTTTTCACGTTTAATAAATATTATTTAAATAAATACTGAAACTTTAGATTTACTTTTATTAAAAAATTCATAATAATAAACAGATAAATAGGTTAATTTCAATTTTATTAAGCAGATTTTAGAGTTTTATAGAATTTTTTTTTTTCTTTTATTAATTTTTTTTTATATAAAAACTCTTTTCATATCAGTTAATAAATATTTTTTATATAAATAAATAAATACTGAAATACTGAAACTCTTTGCACATTTAATATTTTATTTTCTTTAAATATATCCTTGTCTAATTAAATTTAATTTTATTAAGAAACTCATAATAAAAGTTAATTTGTGGTAGAGTTCTAGAAAATTTATTTGATTTTATATATCAATTAATAAGTATTTTTTATATTAATAATTCTTGTCTAATTCAATTTTATTTTATTAAAAAATTCATAATAATAAATAGATAAATAGGTTAATTTAAATTTTATTCGATAGATTTCGGAGTTTGATAGAGTTTTTTTTTAAAAAAATAAAAAATAAATACTATCATACCAATTAATAAATATATTTTTTTATAAATAGATACTTAAATACTAAAACTCTTTGCACATTTAATAGTAGTATAAATAAAATCTTTTTTTTTATTAATTAATAAATATTTTATTATATAATTAAATAAATACTGAAACACTTTGGTAGATTTACTGTATTTTACTTTGAAAATTAGATTTTCTTTTATTAAAAAATTGTAATTTGTAATACGTGTTAGAGTATTATAGAAAATATTTTTAAACTCTTTTTACATGAATTAATAAATATTTTTATATTTTAATAATTCCTATCTAATTATATTAACTTTTATTATAAAAAAATAAAAAAATAAAAAACTAATACTAAAAAGTAATTTGTGGAAGAATTTTAGAAAAATTATTTTATTTTTTATATCAATTAAAAATATTTTTTATATTAATAATTCTTGTCTACTTAGATTTTCTTTTATTAAAAAACTTATAATAAATAAATAGGTAGTTTGTGCTAGAGTTTAATATAAACTCTTTTAAAAGCTCTTTTATATCAATTAATAAATATTTTTTATTTTAATAATTGTTGTCTAATTACATTTAGTTTCATTAAAAAACTAATAATAAATAGATAAATAGGTAATTTGTGTTAGAGTTTTTTAAAAACTCTTTTAAAACCTCTTTTTGTATCAGTTAATAAATAATTTTTTATATTAATAATACTTGTTTAATTAGGTTTCTTTTTATTAAAAAAATTTATAATAAATAGATAAACAGGTAATTTGTATTAGAGTTTTATAGAAACACTGTTGATAGAGTTTTATGGAAAATAAAATAAGTAATTTGTAATAGAGTTTTATAGAAATTATTTTATTTTCTTTAAATATATACTTATCTAATTAGATTTAATTTTATTAAGAAACTCATAGTAGAGTTATATAAAAATTATTTTCTTTTATATATCAATTAATTAATATTTTTTATATTAATAATTCTTGTCTAATTAGATTTATTTTATTAGGTTAATTTAAATTTTATTATGTAGATTTTAGTGTTTTATCATATTATTTAATAAATATTTTTTTACATACATAGATAAATATTGAAACTCTTTACACATATAATAATAGTATAGATAAAAAATCATTTTATATCAATTAATAAATATTTTTTTATATAAAGTATTTTACTCTGGATTTCAACTCTTTTTATATTAATTAATAAATATTTTTTTACATAAATAAATAAATACTGAAACTCTTTCGCAGAATTTCTGTATTTTACTCTAGAATTCTAGATTTCTAGAATTCTCAATTTCTGTACCCCTTCCTCCTTCCTCCATGCCTCTATTTATAGGCTTCTTGGATGAATAGGATAATGACATGTGTCATTTTCTAATAATGACATAATCATAACTGGGCCGGACCGGTTATATTGTGATAATAATTCATAAAAAATAACTAAAAATAAGAGTTTTATATAGAATATGATTGATTTTATTAGATAATTTTTAGATTTTTATAAAAACTTTAATTATCGATAAAAAAAAAAACTAAAAATAAGAGTTTTATATAGAATATGATTGATTTTATTACATATTTTTTAGATTTTTATAAAAACTATAATTATCCATAAAAAAAACTAAAAATAAGAGTTTTATATAGAATGTGATTTGTTTTATTAGGTAAATTAGATTTTATTTAATTAAAAAAACTTGTAATAAATAAATAAATAGGTAATTTGTGTTATAGTTTAATATACACTCTTTTAAAAACTCTTTTTATATTAATTAATAAATATTTTTTATTTTAATAATTCTTGTCTAATTAGATTTACTTTTAGTAAAAAAAAACTCAAAATAAATAGATAAATAAGTAATTTGTGTTTTAAAAACTCTTTAAAAAACGTCCTTTTGTATCAGTTAGTAAATAATTTTTTATATTAATAATACTTGTCTAATTAGGTTTCCTTTTATTAGAAAAACTCATGATAAATTAGTAATTTGTGTTAGAGTTTTATACAAACTCTTTAAATATATATTTGTTGATAGAGTTTTATTGATAATAAAATACGTAATTTGTAGTAGAGTTTTATTGAAATTGTTTTATTTTCTTTAAATATATACTTGTCTAATTA